GGAGAATGGTGTAAACCCGGGAGGCGGAGCTTGCAGTGAGCTGAGATCCGGCCCCTGCACTCCAGCCTGGGCGAGAGAGCGAGACTTCATCTCAAAAAAAAAAAAAAAGAAAAAAAAAAGAAAACCTCTGTACCCATCACACCTGCATCAGTTCCCAGGGCAATGAGGGATGAGGAACGGGTGCCCCGGGTCACTGTGGAGCGGGGGAGGCTGTCTTCTTCTTCTTCCCTTCAGTTTCAATTCTGAACTAACATATCGCCCAGCCTAAAACCTCAGTGAAACTGTAAAGCTAGAGCAGGAAGGAACCCATGTGGTGAGGCTCCTGCTGACACAGGGTGGGGGCGGGTGGCAGGGGCACAGCGTGGTGCCGTGGCTTCCAAATGCTCCACACCAAGTGTCTCAGAAGACGCTCAGGCAACTCAGCAGGACCCACAGCTGGGCCTGGGCACAGGTTCACTTGGTTTGCTCCTGGGAGAACCCAATGGGGTTGGCACAGACACAGACACACTCCTCTCCAAGGCACCCTGCTTCTGCCACAGCCTGTGGTCTGGCACTACGTCCTGGGTCCTGGGTAATGCTGCAGGGCCGGGGATGGGAGTCGGAAGGGGGCCCCAGGTCCTGAGGGAGTCGTGCATGCTTTGGGGACAGCCACACCAGCCACACAGGTCCTGAACCCTCTGGGGATGGGTGCAGCTCCACTCTGTATAACCCAGCCCAGAAATGGAGCGGGGAGTAAGTTAACTGTCCTGGGTGCTGGGTGTTCTTACAGTTAATGTAATTAATGCCCTTTCTCCGGCCCGTTTCAGAAGAGGCTGGTAGCTCACCACACATCCCAGGGAAGGACAAGATTGGAGCAGCCACCAGGAAGGTCTGTGGCCGCCCCACGCACCAGCAACTCCTGGCTTCCTGGTGTCTTCAGACATCCTGCTCTGAGACTGCACCTTTCTGTGCCATGGTTGATAATCACATGCTGAGCACACAGGGAACGGGGAGGCAGGCGCTGACCAGAGCTGAATCCACGAGGACTCAGGGTGACAGCCCTGTAGCTGCTTTGGGCAGCTACAGGGTCCTGAGAAATCCACAGTAAAAAGGCCCCCCTGTCCCAGAACCTAGCTACAAAAATGGAATGAGAGCATTAAAATAACAAAAATAAAGGTAAAGAAGCACGTGAAGATTAAACCAGCCAGGACAAATGAAACCAGACCAAGATGGTGAGCTGGAGTAAGGAACACACAATCCAGAGAGGCTGCACCTTGTGGGGGGAAAGACGCACAGTGAGTTTCAGGAGACACACTAGGCCTGACGAGCAGGCAGCCCAGCAGCCGGAGGAGAGAGGCAAAGTCCAGAGAGGCATGGGCAGGCCCGGCCTGGAGCCCACCACACTGTTGTGAAGGCCGCAGGTGGCACCAGGTGACAGTAGGACGTACGCCCACCACAACCACCAGAAAGGAGCTCCAGGGACACACCTGAAACGAGGCTGGAGCTCCAGGGACACACTGGAATGAGGCTGGAGCTCCAGGGACACACTGGAAGGAGGCTGGAGGTCGCCTAAGGAGAAACCAAGCTCGGAGCACCCTCAACCCCGCCTCCCATCAAGCAGTTACAATAAAGAGCGTGCTGCTGCTAGGAACGTTTCCACTGGAAGAACATTTCTCACGCCTGCTCACTGCTCTGAAAAACATGACCCATATCTGACACATTGTTTCCTGTGCTCCTGAAATTGTCACTGAGCAGGCTGGAGGCTAAGTGCACAAGAAATCTGCTCCAGAAGGAAAACAAGACTTTGTGGACAGCTGCCTGAGCTGTCCCTGGTGACTCACAGGCAGCGCGAACTGGAGCCTCCAAAGTGCTGACACACAGCTTTCTCCACAGCGTCCG